TAAGGAATAGCACTGCGCATGAACCTATTATACGTAAGTTCTCCAACGCTTCGGGTCGTGCTAGATTGGTCTACAGGAAAATGTATTATGCAACGAGATATTACAGTATACTTCAATGTAATCAGGTACATACTTCACTATGGAGATATAAGACTTGATAGTGGAGTTGCTTCATGGCTTTGTTGCAGTTCAACGAGGAAATTGCTTCAATACTAACTTCTATATTCATCATTTAATTTAAATAAATTAGAATGAATTCCTTTACCTTCAGAATTAAAAGGTTTCTCTTAATGCATTCCTTTTATTTGGTCCCGCAGTGTGTAGTGTTATTTTCATACTTCATGTTCCACAGCCTTCCAGTTCGTTTCGAATTTTTTGTTCAGCTTGGAGACTGTGGAGTGCAAGAGCAACAGTGCATGTCGTGTGACCGAATGAGTGAGACATTCACCCAGAGAGAATCTTTCCAAGCTGGAAGATAAAGGAGGTCTTGGCAATTCAACCAGACCAATGCACGAAAATAATTGCTGATATGGAGCTACGATTATGCTGTAATAATGTAATGAAGCAACCTTTATTATTGAGGGGAAAACCTCTATAGGGGAAGTTCGTACCCAAGGTACGCTGTTATATGCTTTGTGTTATTTCTTTTTCCTGCAGACAAAACGTTGAGAATTCGTGTATCATAAATTTGACAAGTGGTGCCGCCCCGTAATTTACACGTGAAAACTGAATTAAGTTTTCGTATAAAAGAGTCCACATCAGTGTTTAAAGTTATACCCACATACTAATATTTGACTCACAGTTCACTAAACTAGTAATTTTCATAAATCGATTTCTTTCCTTTCCAAAACAGCCTAAGGACAAAATATAATGAATCGAGTGAATGTGTTAATTTTTAGCTTAAAAGCATATCGGTCTTTAGCGGAAATACACATTCGAGCGAGTACGAGTGTTTGCGAAATTAATTAAAAATTTCAAAATGCATTATAAAACGAGCAGCGCAATGCAACAGCTGAATTAAAACCGTTATTGTGACTGGAAAACAGACAATATAAACGGTCTAGTGCCCCTTAGTGCATTTATTGCAATCAAGTCCCATTACAGAAACGAAAACGAAAGACGGTGTCGAAAGCTCAATTCAAGCTAAATTAGTTTTTCAGAGTGTAACAACGTGGCCATTCGTCTAAAGCGCTAATTGTGGTATGTTGTAAGAATGGTGGAATCGAATATACTTTGCTTCGTTCTGGTTGGCAGCCTGGCCCTCAGCGCCTTCCTTTGCACGGAATGAATAGCAGAATGAACAAATGAAAGTTGTATGCTTGAATCATATTGCATAGAACCAAATTTTTGGCAAACGGAAACGAAGCGAACATTATTCAACACTGAGAATTACAGAAGAAACAGTAAACAAGCAAACCTTCTGTGTTGTCGCTTTGTGTTTGTAACTGCGACAGTAATTTGGCAAAGAAATATGTAATAATAAGCACATTTAAGTAATTCTGATTAACTTCAGTGGGACTCCGTGGAACGCGCTTAAGCTGAGATTATGTTTTCGGTACAGATCCCCATGGTAAATGCACTGACGTATCTGAACGAAGTTAAGGAAATTTGAAGAATGAGATTTGTGTTCTATTATTTACTAGTGCAATGGCAATTACTCCCTTTTGAAGGTTATCATGCAACCCAGTAACAGGTTCTGCGGTTACTTCCACAAGGTGCGGGTGAAATAATCTTCTCATCGGTATGCACTCTTGCACTTTCGTCATTGACTCACCTCCATCGTTCGGTTGTGAGGTAAAATTTGAGGCCAGAAATCTTGGCACTCATACGGAATTGGGAAAATTTATGCGCGTACACGTGGTTCACCTCAGTCTCAGATCGCTGACCATATCCACACACGTTGCATATGCAGCTTCGTTGTAGAGGGCCTGTACTCACACCGAAAACCATCAAGCAGACGGATATCGATTCGATTGGCTAATGAACATGAAGAACTTGTCGCTGATCGTCGTCGCAGCCATCACGCTGTGCCTGCCGTCCAGCGGGTGGTGCTACTTGCGTATGACGACCCCGATGATCTACAAACATTGCATGCTACAGTACCATTCAGACG